GACACCCGCATTTTCAGATCGTCCTCATCCAGATGTTTCAGACACCCTGTTAGCAGATCGTCCTCATGCAGATGTTTCAGACACCCCATTAGCAAATGCTTCTCGTCCAGATGTTTCAGACATCCCCGTTAGTAGATCCTCCTCGTCCAGATGTTTGAGACACTCCGTTAGTAGACCATCCTCGTCCTGATGTTCAGACACCCCGTTAGCGATCATCCTTGTTTCATGTGACATACCATGTTGACGCTCATTTTACAGCCAAACATCAGCTCACTCATCAGCGTTCTAACGGCTGTGATCTGCAGTAACCACTTTCTGTCCTGCGTTTTGTTTTGCTCTAATGATGAATATTGACCGGACAACGTAATCTTTGTGTTGATTAAAATGCCCCGGTAGCTCGTGGATCGCTAAAGTGCTCAGATAAATTTCCTGTATAGCTGTACAAAGAGTGATAAAAGATGTTTTCTTTGTCTGTGGGTACAGCACTGTTAAAATCAAAGTGGTTTTTGCCCTTGCCTGTTTTAAACGATCATTTTGTGACGTGTGGTTATTTATATGATTTGACTTGTTGCCTCTCCTGCACTGAAACACACGGTAGCTCTGTGCGGGGGCTCGTACTGTAAATCTGTGTGAACTTTGTATTTTCCTTCTGCTTTTGGACTCAGTGAAAGTGTGATGTTTACATGTACAGTTTTTTCAAAGTATTTTTTTGTTTTTTGGTTGTTGTTGTTGTTGTTGTTTTGTTTTAACATTTGATTCTGATGATTCCCCCCGTTTATTGCCCTGATCTCTGTTCATTTAGTCAGAAATATTTATTAACTTTTGTTGTTTCAGTGCATCAAAGAGCAGATGTGACCTCTTCCTGGTCTCTTGGTCAGACTGTGCCGTGACAGCGGGCTATGGTCGGCTCGGCTTCGTTGTGGCTTCCAGCATTTAAAGAGGTGATATTTAAATCAAAAAGGAGATTCACAACTTCTCAAAGTGGACCAGAAAAGATTAGTTAAGGATGAAGATGGTTTTTAATGTGATATGGCCTAAACAGA